AGAGAACAGGTTCTCCCGGGTAACAGACGAGCCTTGGAGCCTTCTCCCTGCCGCGTGGCACAAGCCACGAATCAAGGAGCAAAGGGCTCGGCAATCCCCCTCAGTGGGGGCGCGGCGCCGGTCTGTGTGGCTGCAAAGGGAACCCGGCTCTTTATGGCTATTCTCTCGTGACCTCGCTAAGAATCACGTGTCCGCGCAAATTCCTGCTTTGCTAATGTTCAGCAGCTGCGGTTTCCTTTTGTTCACGGCGTCTGGAGCTTGGCCAGCGGGGCCTGGATCAATCACCCCCTCATCCTTCCCATCCATGTGCGGAATACGACTGGGTGTGCACCGAGGCACGTGGGAGGGTGCACCACCGGGAGAAGCAACCGACCTCGCAGGGGACTTTGTGGTATTGGCATCTCTCCCGAGCGGCCGCAGGGGATGCTGTCGGAGGCGCAGGGAATGCAACAGACAGGGAACAGGAGGAAGCCTGGGGTGAATCCCGCGTTCTAAAGATGGCGCAAGACACCGGTTTCCTCCGTCCTTGCTGCAGGGTTTTTAAGGCCTTGCTCTCGCCCGTGCGCCGTCTCCGGGTTCCAGATTCTTGGGGTCAGGGAGTCACTGGACAGTGAAACCGTTTGTCTTGCCGCAGAGCAGCCAAGGAGCCAGAACCAGAGGGCTAATTGCCCACCCTGGCTTTGGTGCTGTCGTACTGGCGGGTAAGGGCTGCGGCTGGCGGGTGGGGAAGCTCTGGGTGCCGTTCCAGGGAGGACAAGGTGTCAGTTCATGAGCCCCGGGCGGCAGAGTGTGGACTGAGGCCGTGTTAAGCCCCCGCTCGCCACCCCGACCCTGCACGTGTGACCCCATAAACGCCATCCTGTGAGCCCCCGGAGATCCCCCCTCGGCGCTGAGAAACCCAGCCACGGTACCTAGAGCGAGTCATCGTGGGTCGGGAATCCGAGTTTGTACCGACTTCGCCCGCGCTCTCTGGGTAGCCTGTCGGAACGCGCGGCCCTGGCTGAGCTGAGGTCCCCCCGGAAGAGCTCAGTGTCCCCCCAAAAGAGTGACACCCCCCCGCTTGAGCCCCGCTGCTGCAGACAGAGCTGCAAGTTTCAAATCTATAATCAGAACCCCCCTCGCTGGGCCTCTCTTAAAAAATCAGGACTGGGGCTGACGGGGAAATACGGGGAGTGTCCCTATGAAATCGGGGTTACCCGGCCTCCTAGGGCCCTGAGCACAGAGCTCAGCGTGCCCCGGTTGCTCTGGCCACCGCTGGGGGGGCAGGGAGCTAGGGGAGCGCTGGGCCGGAGCGGGAGAGTCCAGGGAGGCAGGGCGTTATCCCGGCCGCCCGACGGGGCTCTGGGCAGAGAAACGGAGCCCTGGGCCCTGACTCCCTGGGAGTTCGTCTCACCAGCACCTGGAAAAGCCTGTCAGAGCAGGGGGCCCGGGCTAGGCCTCCCACTGCCCTGCCTCATTCCCTGGCCCTCAGCCCGGGGTGGGCAATTAGTGGCCCGTGGGCAGACACGGTTCACCAGGGCTCCCCCGGCGGGTGCTGGCCACTTAGTTAACCTGCGCATCCGCAGGCACAGCCGCTCGCAGCTCCTATTGGCTGCCCGTCGCCCTTCCCGGCCAATGGGAGCCGCAGGGAGTGGCACGGACCGGGACCAGGATGGACGGGGCCCTACAGGCCTATTCGGCCGGTGGCCCCGTGCCCACGGCAGCCAGGAGATGGGGGGCAGGTTTTGTAGAGGGGGGATTCGATCATCTCCAGCAACGCGACGCTGGGAGTTTGTAAAGCACGTTTGAAAGGAGGCTCCTGCAGACCACCACGCTAAATTCAGCAGCGGACAGGCCTGGGACGGGTTTCATTGCCCGCGACTGGCCCTTTCTCAGGGCCCGGGCTGGCGCTGGCACTGGTAAGTTCACTAGCTCCTCTCCGGAGCAGGCAGGGCCACAGACCAGGGCTACGAAGAGGCGGACAGGTGGGCATTAGGACCCAGCGGTGCCCCAGATTTTTGGGTGCCCTGCACAGCTGCATATTCCACCTATGGCCATGCCTGGGACACCGCTTCCCACGGCTCCCGCTGGCCCATGGGAGCTGCAAGCCCGACCGTGCAGGCAAACGCCCTGCCAGCGGCCCACCGGGGACTCACCCCTGCCTTCCCTCAGCTGCAGGGCTGGGGCCTTGTGGGGACAGCACAGAACTGGGAGTGGGGAGCGCGGGGTTTGATTCCCTCTGCTTCTGGAGTGACTGGTGGAGGCCTCAGTTTCTCCATCTGCAAACTGGGGAGAACGACACCACCCCCCTTGGGAAAGTGCTTAAAGAATGACGGATGCAAGGGGAGGGGGAAGGTGGAGTCGTCCCGGGGGGGAGGGGGAAGGTGGAGTCGTCCCGGGGGGGAGGTGCTGCTTGTGTCACCCTCTGGCCCGCCCGCCCTGGGGATCCCAGCCCAGGGGGCTGGAACGAGGAGGAGGCGAAAGCTGGCGGCGTGAAGCAAGGTGAGTTTTAATGTGCGAGGAGTGGAGGG